TGCATCAGCTCAATCCAGAGCCATCCACAGGCAGCAGTCGCTTAACTGCGACATCATATGTGTTTTTCAAAATTTGGATTGCTAACAAAGAATTAAGGGAGTACTGGGATAGCTATTTCTAACCTTATTTGGTTTCATCAGCCAGACATACCCTTCTGAGATTCGAACCTGGGCTGTCTGCATGTTAAGCAGAGGTGTTTATATATATTATATATAAATTATATATATATTGTGTGTGTGTGTGTGTGTGTGTGTGTGCAAGAGAAGGAGAGACAGCATCTTATATTAACCCAGATTGCTTTGTTTATATCTTAATCTCTTTTAAGATTCTAGAAAATTGCCTAATTTCATAATAATATTGAGTATGTCAAATGAACACAGCATACCACCTTGCTTTATATTTCTCCAGGTCAACAACAATGGGGTTATCTCTTTTGGAAAGTATGTCTCAGAATACACTCCTAATGCTTTCCCTCTGGATAATGAAGTACCCTTTGTTGCTCCGTTTTGGGCTGATGTTGACAATAGAGTCAGTGGGACGATCTCCTGGAGACAGACCAAAGACTCGGTGCTGCTTAGTCGGTTTGCTGCAGACCTCAGTCAGTATCACCCTGATGTTTCCTTCACACCCGTCTGGATGTTTATCGCTACCTGGGACAAAGTAGGCTACTATGGATCTGTTTCAAATAAGGTAGGTCTCACACAGTAATGGTAATCTAGAGCATTTCTCCTCCTCCAGTGGCTGCTGCTTATTGGCTGAGAGTAAATGTAGTGTAGAGGTAAAAGTGCTGAACTACAGCCCGCACCCCATCACAGAAACCCACTGTGTGGCTTTGGGTCAGTATTTCTCTCTCAGTCCAAGAGCCATGGAGATGGAGGTGAAAGTGTTGGACAAGGAGCACCAAGATCCAAATTTAAAGCCATCTTCAGCCATAGAGACCCCTCCCCAGATGACTTTAAGACTGTCCTTCTCTCTCAATACTGTCAGACCTGCACCAGCCCGATCCCTTAGGAAAGAAAGACCCTCGACTCCACTTGGTACAAGTGATAGGTTCTTTTACTAAAAGATGTTGGCTGCAGTAAAGTCAGGCTAGAACTAAATTTCCCATGCTAAAAAGGATACAAAATGTTTCCCCTCATCCCAGCCCTCCCCCCTCCCCATGACCAGTTCATCTTCAGCTAGGTCCTAGGTGTTCTGAGAAAGATGTTTGTGGATATTCCACATTCCTTCCCAGGATATATGACCTTGAGTGCTGGCACAAACTGATTCAGAACCTCTCTGTTCTTCCTCAAGCTGTCATCTCCCCCCCCCTCCCTATTTCACAGCACATACCAATACAGGTTTATTGCCCATTTTTTCTCCCGCCCATGCCCCCCTCACCAGTAAGGCACCAAGCCAAAAATGGCAAACCTGACACTTACCTTACAGACACTGAATTTCTGTAAGGAAAAATGCAGGATACAAATTTAAGGAGAGGATATAATTCTAATGAAAAAAAAGCCCTAACAAAATATGCACCTGGCTGGAAGAACATCCAGTTCACAGGCATGTAGATTTTTCTACTAAGAAACGTGTATGGGACCTGGGGAATGTGATGAGAATGAAAGAAAAATGGGCAGAGTGAACACCTTTGTTTCTCTTATACATACTCATAAGTTGAGTCCTTTATCCCTTCCATTCTTTCTTATTCTATTACTTTATTTTATTTTATTTTATTCAATTTTAAAACTATTAAAGGGAAGAGATTCTCTGAGAGATGCCAAACTCTAGGGCACGGTGCTCATCTCCATGTCTTAGCCGAGGGAGCCAGCGTTGTCTGAAGACACTTCCGTAGTCATGTGGCCAGCATGGCTATAGATGCCAGAGGTGCACAGAGCACTGTTACCTTCCCACCAAAGTGGTACCTATGGTCAGCTGATTCCATCGCTGACTATAGGGGGCGAAACCTTGGCCCCCTCGGAGAGGGTTCGCAACTTGGGGGTCCTCCTGGACCCACGGCTGACACTGGACGACCAGTTGGCGGCTGTGGCCAGGGGGGCGTTTTACCGGGTACGCCTGGTGCACCAGTTGCGGCCTTTTCTAGACCGGGATGCCTTGCGCACAG